TGTCTGTAAGCCTTTGGGTTCATCTTCTTTTCATGCTTGCCCTTCTCTCATCCCTTAAAAGAGCTTCTTCTGTTTTCTCTTTGCTGCATGTTGGATGGGAAAAGAGGCATCTCACTTTAATCACTGAATAACAGCGACCAATTTCCATTTCATTTTACTTACCAGGTAGATGAAGCACAAACAGAATTCTCCCAGAGGTGAGTCTGAGATGAACTGACGAGGTCTCTGTCTGCCAGATCCTCCGCACACAAAAATAGCACCATAACCTATTGCACACATTTGCTGTGTGTTTCTAAGAGAAAATTACCAACCGCCCCAGAGAAGCAGAAAGACAGATGAGAATGAGACTGCTCCAAAGGGCAGAAAACCTGTTGGTTTTATACGAAATGATTTTATATTTGTGATTTTATATTTTTATACTGTGATTTTATATTTTATATTTGTTAGCGTGTTCCAAAAGACCCTCCAAAATATGTCTGGTTCTTCAAGCGACCTCGACCAAAAAGCTTTCACCAAAGTCATAGATTGTTGGATTACTATTAAGTATCTGGCAAGGGGTAGGCTTTAATGAAGAAACGTTTTGTCCACTGATTCCATCGGAGGTGTCTTAGAACAGGACCTTCAGTACCTGTTTCCAGCACTTTTTGATTCAGAACTCTATGAAGGTCTAACTGACCACAGGAGATCCAAGAACATAGACAAGATCATCCTGCCTGGAGGAGGCTTATAGTCCAGCAATACTATCTGTAGAGTAGGTGCCTTCATAAAGCACGGTAATACTTTGCTACTTTTCTTAAATAGTACTCTCCTTTCTCAAAAATTTTTTGGTCTGGAATTGAGTCTCAAGATGAAGAGAAAGGGGTGGGGAAGGGCTTGGACCCATCTTGGTGGTAGAGCTCTTGCCGTGCCAGGAGTTCCATCCCTGGCACATGCCAAATGCCAAGTTCAGTGCCCGCAGCCCATGCTCTGCAGTCCCTGCCCCACAACAAAAGTGTAGAATTTCTGGTGTGCCACAACCAAGGGTGTGCAACCCCTGATCCTCACCACCACAGTAATAAAAGACCCTGGTGAAGAAGGGGAAAAAAAGATAAACGGGCTGGAGAGATAGCACAGCGATAGGGCGTTCGCCTTGCGCACAGCTGGCCCAGCCGAGCCAGGTTAGATTCCTCTGCCCCTCTCAGAGAGCCTGGCAAGCTACCGAGAGTATCTTGCCCGCAGGACAAAGCCTGGCAAGCTACCTGTGACGTATTCAATATGCCAAACACAGTAACAACAAGTCTCATGATGGAGACGTTACTGGGCCCGCTAGAGCAAATCGATGAACAGTGGAAGGACCGTGACTGCGACTGTGAATGTCTAATGTGAGTTTGGCCCAAGCCTTTAATTGTCAGATAAAGATTTTGAACAAAGTAGACAATCATTTACTGTAAGTAATAAAATAATATTGATCACGCCATGGGATCGGAACCAAGGCTTCAGAGCCATCCATATGTACTAATTTGGATATGACAAACTGGGACCTATTTATAACTTTTTAAGTATTTTATGACTCTTTCTTCCAAAGAAGCAACATTATATTGCACAAGGCCTGTGGATACACAAGTGTTTGTCTCTGCCAAAAGCAGCCGAGAGAGCTTAAGGATTACCCAAGTATTGCTTTTCAAATCGGAATTTGTAATGGGCAATGGTACAGAAATATCTGGTGCTTAATAACCTTGAAACTTTGAATTCGGAAAGATTTTATAGCCCCAGGACTACATGGTTTGATGGCTGAAGTTCATAAATCCACCAAGAATGGATCTACCTCTTCAAACTCTGCCCACCATTCGTTTATGGAAAACAAACCCCACTGTCCATGGGGCTCAACAATGCCTAGCCTGGTGCCTGCCTGGAAGAAGGGGCACCCTGTGGTCTGCCAAGCTGAAGTGGGTGTGAATTGTGGCTCTTCTTGTTTAAATTGGTCTGAAAAATAAAGAATCCCTCCTCCTCTTCTTCACCTTTGTTCTCAATCACCTAATACAGGATTTCTAGAAATATCTCTGGGGACATCCAGGCTTCATTTTGCAGAAAATGAAACCATTTCGAAGTTAACAAATACTGGCGCCCAATGGAGAGAATGAAAAACCCAGGGCAACTGCCTAACTTCTAGAAGCTGAGTTCTACCCCTCAGGTTGGGGGTTCTCATTTCCAGATAGAGTTCCCCACTTCTCTTAGTGAACAGCCACACTGCACCCTGACACCCTCCGTCTCTGATGATGTCACTGACACCTACCTTTCCAAGGGGGAGGGACCCAGGCCAAAGTGTCTCCTTTGTCACTTCCTTCCCCAGACACTCTGCCCAGTGGCATTGCAAGATGGTTGCTGAATGATGGTTTTTTTTTTCTTTTTTGGGTCACACCCAGCGATGCTCAGGGCTTACTCCTGGCTCTGCACTCAGGAATTACTCCTCCTCACAGTGATCAGGGGTGACCCTATGGGGATTGAACCCGGGTCAGCTCTGTGCAAGGAAAACGCCCTACCCCCTATAATATCGCTCCTGTTGGGTTGCTGAATGTTTTAAAACAAAAACACACCTTTTCTGTTTCACTGCTTACTTTTTTTCCCTAATTTTAAAGAATTCACTTCCACCATGCCAGCGCCAAGTCCCTCTGAAACCGGTCCTTTACTTAGGCAATGAGAAGAGGGTGTTGCTGACAATTTCACTCTCTGGCTCTCACAGGCCTGAAAAAAAATGTGTCATTTTTCTTCATGCAGATTTTTAAAAACTTGAGTGGCTGTCTTTTTTCTTCATATCCCTACCCTCGCCCGCTCCCCCCCAGGAGTTCCAACTTAAAGAAACTCTTGCTCTCAGAAAGTCCATCTGCAAGATGGAAAAAGTGACTGGAACATTTTGCAGAAAGACAGTTGCATTCCCCTCGGTATTTTGCTAACGCAACAGAGCCTGAACTCTTGCAAATGGGTGGGGGTGTCCTCTTCCAGGTGCCCTGGAAAGAGAAATAGAAATGAATGTATCAGGCTGGTTGGTGAACATCCTGTGCTGTCTGAAAAAGAAGCAGCCACGGACATCCAGAGGCAATTACACTGTGTACTTCAGAGCTCCAGGTGGAAAAGACTCAGGAGAAAATTGTGTTCTGACAGGGGTGGGTTAAAGAGTCTATCTACATCAACTGCCTCCTTCCAAACCTGTACAGAGACCAAATGGTTTCCACCTTATTGAACGTACTATTGCTAAAAAGAAATTACAAAAAAGCACACACACATGTATATTTACATATATATACAAATATATATATTTTTTACATAGGTAAAGCACTAGAGTTTATTTTCCACCAAGGCTTTAAAGGGTTGGTAGAAACCAGTGGTTATGTAACAAGTTGATTTTTTTCCCCCCAAATTTACATTCTTTACAATTACATCCTAATAAAAACAGATGAGGTCACATCATTAAACATTCTTTTACAAATCAAGTAGAAACCAAAGTGATTAATTCTTTGCCTGGGTTGGGGTGGTGGGGGGAGGCATTAGGAGGGACCATCTCCCAATCTCCCCGGGGGATGGGAGGATACACAAATTCAGTGCCTTTCGGTGGCTGTTGGGGCTCCAAGGCTCGTTTACTTGAATGGGGAATCAGGAGATGTCGGTCAGATACCGGTGTCTACCGTTACTTAGCTTGGCTGGCTCTGGCGGGCAATTAAAGGTAATGGTTCTCCCCAGCACCCCAAAGGCGAGATCTCCTCCCTCCCGGCCCCCCGGGACCCCCTCCTCTGGCTGTCTAGCTACTTTGCCTCGGGCACGGGCTTTTTGGGGTCAAGGAAGGTTGGAGCGTGGGCGGAGAAGGGGGGGGTGGCTCTCCTCCGCGTCCAAACCCGGGAGTCTCCAACTCGGGTTATCAATGGGGCCAAGGGGGGGGGGGGGGCACTCGCGTGTCTGCGAACCGCGCGGGGCCTCGGGGTCCCCGGCTCCGCGCTCGGGGGTCGCCAGGCGGCTCCCCGCGGCCGCGCTCTGTCCGGAGCTCGCGACGTTCGTTCCCGGGGGCTGAGCTGCGCAGCTCCCTCTGCGGGCGCCGGTGCCCGCGCCCCGGGTCCCCGACGGGGTCCCGGGGAGCGCCCCCCGCCCCGGGGGCGGGGGAACGGCCAAGACGCCCAGGCCGCCGCCGGCAGCCGGCCCCGGCTCCCCCACCCACCCAGCCACCCAGCCACCCAGCCACCCAGCGCCCGCGCCCGACTCCAGCCCGGCGGCCCGGGGAGAAGCAGCTGTTCCCAACAGCTGGGGGGCGGCGGCGCCGGGCGCCCCAGGTGCGGCCGCGGCCAATCGCAGGCGTCCGGCCCGCCCCCTCCCCAGCCGGGCGCCGACCCCCGGCCCGCGGGGGAAGGGAGCCGGGGAGAGGAGCGGCGGCCGCGCCACTCGCCTGCCAGCGTCCGCGGCGGGAGGGAGCGAAGCGAGCCCGAGCCGCAGGCGCGCCGAGGGCCCCCCGCGGCGCCCGGACGCCCCCCGCCGCCCCTCTGCACGCCCAGCCCAGACGCCTCCCTCCTGGCCCAGCTAGACAGCTACCTCCGAGCGCGCGCGCACCGAGCCCCCCTCTGATTTGATTTGATTGCTTTTGCTTTTTATTTCTTGGTTTTTTTTTCCTTTTGTTTTGGGCGGGGGCGTGGGGTGCCAGAGTGGGGGGAAAGACTCCCCCCGCCCCGCGCCGGGTGAGTTGGAAAAGCGTTTGCACGTTTCTCCCCGGCCCGGAGCCTCTTCGCGCAGACGACCCCGAGGACTGGGAGCGCGACCGGCAGGGGGGGGCGGCAGGAGAGCGAAGTCGGCGGCGGCGGCGGCGGCGGCGGCTGTTGCTGCTGCGGCGGCGGCGGCGGCGGCGGCTGCGGCGGCGGCGGCGGCTGCAGGCGACTTGGGAAGCCGCGCGCCCCGCGCCCTCGGCCGCCCCCCGCCGCCCGCGCCCACGGGCTCGCCCTCGGCCCCCGGCGGCCGCCCCCGCGGGCAGGAGACGCCGAGCCGGAGGAGGAGGAGGCGCAGCCGCTGCCCGAGCCGCAGCCGCAGCCGCAGCCGCAGCCGCAGCCGGAGTCGCAGCCGGAGTCGGAGCCCGAGCGGCGGCGCGGGCGCGAAGATGCACACGACGCAGAAGGACACGACGTACACCAAGATCTTCGTCGGGGGGCTGCCCTACCACACCACCGACGCCAGCCTGCGCAAGTACTTCGAGGTCTTCGGCGACATCGAGGAGGCGGTGGTCATCACCGACCGGCAGACGGGCAAGTCCCGGGGCTATGGATTTGTAAGTTGCGCGGATGCTGGGGAGCCGGCCGGGAGGGGGGTCCCCCGGGGTGGGGAGAGGAAAAGAAGCAAATCATCATCATCATCATCGTCGTCGTCGTCGTCGTCGGGGGTGTTTGTGGGGGGGGGAGTCGAGGAGCGAGAACGCGGGAGTGAAGGCAGACGGGAGAGGGGGGATGCAGGGAGGGCCTGCGAGGCTCGGAGTTGGGGGAGTCGGGGGGCTCCGCTGCCCCTTGGCTTGCGCCCCGCCGAGCTGAAAGTTTGCGCGCCCGGGCGCTGCGGGAGGGAGGGCCGCCCGCGTCTGCGCCCCGGGCTCGGCGGCGGGGTCCGGGGCCGCGCAGGGGGTGGAGGGGGTATGGGGGGGGAAGGAGAGAACTGGAATGACTGCTGGTTCGTGTGGGGGGGCTTTTTTTTGCGGGGGAAGGGTGTACGGAGGGGCCCCGGCCCCCCGCAGGAGCGCCCCGGGGCTTGGAGGCCGGTCGCTAAGCACGCTGTTGCTTTGTAAAACTGCGTGTCTCCTGGCATTGGCGCGGCGAGCCGGACGCCCCGGGAGGTCTGGGGCTCGGCCCTTGCAGCCCTCCTCCAGGACCCCATTTCATTGCAAAGGTAGTTTTTTTTTTTTTGCAAAGACTCCCGGGGCGCCGGGGGGTGGGGGGTGGGAGTGCGCAAACTGCAAAGGCGTACCCCGTCGTGGAGATAGATGTGCACGTTGCAAACAGGCGTGCAGATTTGGAGGCGGCTGCAGGGCGATCCAGGAACCCCCCCGGTGCAGGACAATAGCTATTGTCTCTGGGGAGTGTTTTTCTGGGAGTCTGGGAGCATCGGGCGGAAGTCGGGCTGGACGTTTTCTCTCCAAGCGAACCGCAGCTTTCAGGCTGGGTCCGGGACCCGAGACGTGGGGGGTGGGCGCGCGCGCGGGCCGGCTGGGGAGGAGGGAGGGAGGGAGGTCTGGTCGCGGGAGAGCGAATCTAGAAAAGTTCTTAGACGGAATATTCAGGCTTCCAAATTCAGCTAGGCCCTACTAGCACCCGCAAGATTTGGCGGGGGTGTGGGTGGAGTAAAAAAGGATTTTTTCCTTTTTTTTTTTTCTCTCCTCCCCGATGTATTTGCATTGGGCGGTCAAGTGCCGCAGGAGGGCAGGAGGAAGCATTTAGGGTCGCCTCCAGTTTTCTTGGGAAGGACTTCACCAAGTGGGATGCTTGGTTAACTGAGACCCCCCCCCTTTTTTTTCCCTGTCTGCCTGTGTCGGTAAGGTCACCATGGCTGATAGGGCAGCCGCGGAGCGAGCCTGCAAAGACCCCAACCCCATCATTGATGGCAGGAAGGCCAACGTCAACCTGGCATACCTGGGAGCCAAACCCAGAATCATGCAACCAGGTGAGAAACGCAGCACCAATCCCCCTCCCCCTCCCCCATACACACACACACACACACACACACACACACACACACACACACACACACACACTTCTGAGCATGAAAGAATTTCTGGTTTAGAAAATCAGGCTTCCTTGAGACAGTGTTGAGTGGAGTTGAACCATACCTGGTGCAGGACATTCAGGATGAATGGGATCCCTTTTAGGCTTTTAGCCCCCTTCAGATCTTGAAACTGTACCTCAGAGCAAAATTAGATCCTGGGGGGTGTGATAGATCCGTGGGAGGGGGCGGGGTTGTCTGACACTTCCTGGGGTGTCTGACAGTTTGTGTACTCTCAGGCCTAGGGGCTGGTCCTGAGAGTGACTTGATCATAAGTTGCTCACAATTTTCCAGTTTTTGTTTATTTTTTTTTAGTCCTTCGTTGCTAATTCTGAAGCAGATTCTCTGGGCCCGATTTCTCAGCCCCAGTCGCTTTTTACTTCCTACTTGATGTTTTCTTTTACCAACCACCAGTTGCCCTATAGAGCAATCTGACGTCAGTTGAACTCTTACCCTGGGATGGTGTCTGGATGGTAAATGCTTAACGTAAAATCACAGAATATTTGTAAGGAAAAAAAAGAGAGCAAGTTTACAGAACGCAGGGCCCTCCTGTAACCGAGTAAGAAGGTGAGGTGTAGAAGTGAGAAATAATTGCTCCAAAGTTATGCATTCTATCAGGAGGTGCCCAGGGAATAGAATTTTGTCTGTGTGAAAAGAAAAATCCCCTTTGGTTTGTTTGCATCACTGCCATTTGCAGTAGCACAAATGACAAGAGAATCTACTATTGCACAAATACAATCTTTTCCTTAGGTAAGCAACTTTGTTTGATTAAATCATGGGCTCTTCACTCAGATCTTTCCATCTGAAATTCTGGAAAGAGACTGACATTTCCATTCAAATGAATTTGCTAGCAAATCAGTTTGTCAAGAGTCAGTGTGCAAACAACCACAAGCAGTGGAAATGCATATTTGTCTAATCCGTTGTATGTGTACTATTCAGGAAAAAAGGAAAGGGTAGTTTTCCCCCTGAATTATCTACACCTTAATCTCTAACATGTATAGAATCTTCCAAAGCATTGTGTAAAACACTCCAGAGTGTTCTAAATTATGAAAACTTCATTTTTCATAATGCATGATTCCAGATTATTGGAATTCTTGTGACACGGAGCTTCATTCCTTGGTTTAATTTTCTAAGTTTTTATTCTATGTCTAAACAGTATAATTTTTAGTTTCCAAGTAGAGCCTAGTAAAAGTTTCACTTTGGATCAGTAATAATGTTAATGAAAATGACTTTTTAAATATTTTGTCTGAAAAGTATTGGAAAATTCTTGTCTTTTGTAAGTGAAAGTTGTCGCATTTTATATGTGGAAGAAATGAATGCTCAGCCATGTACAAATAGAAAATGTGGTATGTTTTATTGTTAGGTTTTGCCTTTGGTGTCCAACAAATTCATCCAGCTCTTATACAAAGACCTTTCGGGTAAGTCCATTGATCAGGCCTCCTAAATTTTAATACGACTCATTTGTTAGCCTGCCATTTTGTTTAGTACAAACAAAACCATGTCACAGAATGTTCCTGGTTATATCTATCTATAGATGATGGTGTATTTTTAATGCTGATACTCAAAATATTTTTAGATGAGTCAAGTTATCTGCCCCAGTATGCAGCCCTCCAAACCAGACAAAACTTTTGAGCTTATGATTTACAAAACCAAACCCAAATACCAGGTATGACTTGTGTACCAGACGATTGTGCCCAACCCCATTACTACTGCTCAACTTGACTCAATTTTATTTATCTCTTTCTAACCTGACAGGGCTCGTATACAGTTAAGCTAACTGATGAGAAGGATACGATGATAAGAGGTGGAATAGTTCTGTTTGGAATTAAACTCTGTAACCGGTAGACTCAGACACACAAGCTCAGATGGTGATTAACGATGCATGGATGTTGGTGTTGTTGATTTTATTTTTCACAATAGTCAATAGACCTCCGTGTGCTTTATTTTATTTATTACAGTCATGAAGTGGTGTTGATAGCTAAACTGTGTGCTTTGACTTAATTGAAAAGAGCTGTAGTGAAAGTGTTTTCTTTTCCTCGGGGAAGGGGCTCTCTGTGTTTGGAGTTTTGGTGGCGGTGTTGAGGAGTGTTGACTTTTGACTTTGCCATGGGAAGCAAAGGCCTTTTTTTTTTTCCTTGCTTTTAAGCTATAGCCTGTGACTTCCATTTAACCATATTTTTTTTTGTAGTGAGTGCTAAATTGTGTGATTTCCCTCTGTAAGAACACAGATTCATTGCTTGCATGCCCTAAGTTTCTGTCTCACTGGGAAGTTTTCTGGGAATGGGGTTCTTTTTCTTTTTTAGAATGTGTATCCGTTCTTAGGCCATCCCATATAAAGGTTCCACTACTGTCATCCGATTTCACTGATTTAGCCAATGGAGTCAGATAGCACTAACTTACCTTCAGATCTAGTTTGGGTGCACAGCCGGCCCAGAAACTTGCTATCTCTGGATCCCATGATCACCAGAGTCCCTCAAATGAGCTCCCTCTTTCTTTCTCATTCAAATATGATGTGGATGAAGGGTCCCCCCTACCTACTAAACACTTGAGTATGGTCGAGCTGCATTCTGCAGTAGTCGTCATCATTTTTGTCACCCTGATGCTTGAGATCAAAATGTTATCTGTTTGAGAAGCATTTTATCCTGAGCAATAGCTACTTGGATAACTTAGCATCTACATGGGTTAGCTGCAAATATTGGGATCCGTTTACATGAGAGCTCCCTCCGTGTCTCCAAACATCTACTCCCAACATTAGTGATGATTTGAGGGCCTGGAGCCATAGGACTGCAGGTAGGGCGCTTGCCTTGCATGCGGCTGACCCAGGTTCAGTTCTCGGTGTCCCATATGATCCCCTGAGCACCACCAGGTATGGCCCAAAAACGAAAAAAATTTTTAAAAAGGTAATAATATCACTTGGGGGAAATCATGTTTTATATTCCATGAACATCTTAAACTCTGCTTTGAAATCTCTCAAGCTAATGGCCAACTCTTACTTTTTTTAAAAAAAAGAATCTTCAATCCCATATGATTAGAGAAGACCTTTACATACCCATAGTTGTATGAGAGTTCCACCCAAACCATCCTGGATTCTGACAAGTAGTGGGATATTGGATTCAACTGCTACCCCTGTACTCCCAACTGCCTTGATCTGGATCAGTGGTTTAAGCCTTTTCATGCCTCCAGACTAGTAGTTCTCAGACCAATAAGGCAAAAATAAAAATCATGGTTTATAATAGTATTTCATGTATTTATTTTTAAATGCATTATTATTCAATGAAATAAAACATACAGATATTTGAATTTAAAATAACCAAACCAGCAGAATTGGCCTTTGCAAACCACTGTAAACCTGATCACTTTAAACAGGAGAATCCCCTTCACAAAAAGTAATGTTGACCAGACTCTTTTTCAGCCAAATCATGTTAGATCAGTTGGAGAATGAAATCGAGCAGCAGGTGTTGGCATGTTTTCTTTCCCAATGTATTTATTAGTGGGCCATACAAAATAAGGTAATTGCATTTTAGTCTGGGAAGCAAAATTGTCCCAAGCCAATCATTTACATGGAATTGTTTTAGGTAGGAAGGAAATACACAGTATCAAGGAAATAGGAAAGTTGGAGAAGTTGAACAGGGTTGGTGGACTTGACCTAAACTTGAACCAGGGCATATGTCCCTGTCAGGTGCTTTAAGCACAGACATGAGAAGTGGGGTGAGCATACATAACGGCTTGGAAAAGAAAGACTCCCTGTGCAGAGAAACCAGGCCGTTGATGAGGGTCCAGAGAGCTGACGCAGAAATATGGATTGGTGGTGGTGGAGCCTAGTGGATCTTGGAGAAAGAAAAGACCATGAAGAAGAACATTCAAAGATATCAGATAAAAACTTTTAAATCAAGGATGTTTTGATAGTAATGTTTTGTTCTTCATCCCCTTGGCTATTAGCTGCCTGACAAAGCGCTCTTATTTTTACTGTTTGCATAAATTGTTTGAACTTGAGATTCTTATTAGAAATAGATCGCATTCCAGATGTGTCAAGCAAGCCTTCTCTCTGTTTTTAAGCCATTCTCAACACTGTTGTAATTTCCAGAGTCTGTACCTAACAAATCACACCTGGTCATCCCAAATTCTATTTGGAATGCCACATGCTCTTATTTTAGACCTAGAAAGAAGCTTGAGAATTTTTTGTTGTTGTTTTACTTACCTTGTTTGAAATCCTAGTGACTGTTAAAAGTATTTGTTAGATGGTCCTTAAGTGGCCTCAGATTACTCTGAGCTTTCACAGGGAATTTCAGATGTTACTCGGTGGTTAGATATACAAAAACTTGTGAATTTGCTGAACAGTAGCTTAGAAATAGTTGATGTTCAAAGGAAACATTTTCTGATTGAAATCTTGGAGTGGAGAAATTGCCGATTTGTGAGTAGAAAATTCTAGACTAGTTTAGATCTTGTTGAAATGTGCTTAAACGTTGACTCTGTACCTAGAAGCCCTGAGTTTATGTTATTGGGGTTGGCACTGTTCTAAGTATTATACCGTCCACTAAGAGGGACGAGAGGGGCAGGAACTTCCATTCACTGCACTTCTGCTTACTGATAAAAAAAAAGAGAGAGAGTGACATGAATTAGGTCATTTAATGCTCATAATTATTGTTTTTTCTTTGGGGGCCACATCCACAAGTGTTTGGGGCTTATTCCTGGTCCTGCTCAGGGATCTCACCTGACAGTACTTGGGGGACCATATGTGGTATTGGACCAGGTTGACCCCATGAAAGGCAAGCCCTCCCGCCCCGCTCTACTATTTCTCCTTCAACCCACACTTATTATTTGATGAAGACATCATGAATGCTTCTCTGTGGGTGAAAAAGAACAATGGAGATTAATTTCCCACGGGGCTCGGAATTGACAGCGTCTGATTCTGAGTTTCATAGTCACAGTTTACCTGACCTCGAGAGCCACGTTTTGTCCTATGTCAAATCACAACCAAAATGTTCTCTTTTGTCCTCTCATGAAAATAAAAAACACCCTGAAAAGTTCCCCCAAAGGGCCATCCATGTGGCCTTGACTAAAGATGAGTGCGATCCAGGAAGACTGCTGGAGGAAGGTTGACAGACTTCAGAGGCGGGGTATAAAGAGAGAATTCGGGAGTAGAGGATCTGCTGTTGGAGGTTCATCAGAGAGGTACTTGTATTTAGCATGCAGCCGTGTAGGGTTGGAAGTATTGGGTTCATTTCTTCTGGAAGAGTGCATGAGCACGGGCAGATAGGATTTCCATATCAACAGACATTGGCAGGATGGGGAGAGCTTAGGTGAGGATCTAGAAATGAGCGGTATACCCAGAAAACATTAACAACAATGGTCCAGATGTGTTCAAGAAGAAATACTGGAGAACTCTTTCTGATCCAGTAGTATAAAAGGCCTAGCATTCCAAGGTTTAAAAAAATTGCATTTAGGTTGTAAAGGACCACAGAGTTTGAACAAGACAGTGCGATAAAGACTGGTCACTCGGGGATTTGGCGGAAGAGGAAGCCAGTTAGAATGTTGCTTCAGAAGCCACAGAGCAGGCGACACCCAGAGTCAAGGGCTTTGGCTTTGTGTGCTCAAGGACCTGAGTTCAAGTCTCGGCACTGCATGGCCCCTCAAGTACCACTTGATGTCACCCTGGGGGGTCCCTAGTACTACTGGACTAGAGCAATACTGTGTTCCTGGGTGGAACGTTGAACAGTCAGCCCCGTTGGTAAAGTATCACCAGGAGTGACCTTCTAGGATCCCCAAACAGTGATGGGAGCCCCCCCCAATAAAATTTTACATTTAAAATGGCTTAAAAAGTCACAGAGAGAGATTGGAGAGAAAGTATGAGGTTTAGAGTGCATCCCGGCCTTGGGACTGACCTTTAGATCCTTGGTGTGACATTCTTGGCCAGGCATTACCAGGTGCAGCCTTAGAGACCCCCAGGTTCTGCCAGGATGTTCTGGGTAAACCCTAGCACCCCAGGGCTCAGGTGGCACTGCGTCCTCTGGCCTTTGCATCGAACTGCCTAAAGGGGCCCCCAGGTCTTCTAAGCTCCTCTTGAGAAACCTCCCCAACCCCACCCCCCCTCAAAATAACTCCCAACACAGAAATTCCTTCATAAGTACCACCTTACCCTCTCTCTCTGGCTCGGCCTTTTTTTTTTCCTGGCCCCAGATATTTTAGACTTTCCTTGCTTTTCTAGGGGTTACCCTTTCCCTTCAACCTTCAAAGACTCAGTTTTCCAGCACCAACCAAAACCTCCTCCCATCCCCCACGCACCAAACTTCATCTCGGATTCTGATATCACAGGGAATTTCACGCGCTCATTGCTTCACATTATCAAATCCGAACTGTTCATGTAAAATCAATACCGAGGCAAGAACCCTGTCAGCAGCCTTGGCTGTCTCCTAATGCACTTGACATGCAGACGCGCACACACACACAATTTTGCCCTGCCTGTTTGTAAGCTCTGCTTTCTGAGCGAACAGCTTGTCAATGCATCCTGCACGCATGCACACACACATACATACATACACACACACACACACACACACACATGCGCGCGCACGCACGCTCTTGCCTGCTGGGAAAGCTAAACTTATTTTTAGCGAACGGCATTATTCAAAGATAAGATCCTTGCCAGCTCAGGGTGGTTCCTGGGGACTTGGGGAACCGAGGGGTTAATGTTTCAGTATCAGTGAGCGTCCTACTGGCTGGCCCTTGCAGCTGATAGATGTTTCACTTTGGCCTTATAAAGACATTTTACCCGCTGGAAACCCTTGTCGCCTGACAGGATCAAAAATAGCCCCAATGCAGCCCCTGCTGTCCATCACAACGTGAAAACTGGCAGGCATGCTGGCTCACTTCGCCCTGTCTTCACTGGGCCGTGTCACCTCTAGCACCACACCTGTCGCTGGGAGAGGGCTGGTCCCCCCCCCCTACCACCTGCAGGGAAGTTTGGGGTGCGGGCCTGACCGTGCATCTAGTTTCTGACAAGCAACTAAGAACATCTCCTAAGTGTCCTCGGAAACACTCGCTGACGTTGTTTCTCCTGGCACTGGGAAAGATACACAAGTGGAGTGAAATGGAGTGTATTTTTATCACGGGGGTCGAAGTTCGCTACCCTCTGTGATAAATCCATCTTTTCCATGGATGTTCATTAATGAGTGCTTTCAGTAAAACTTGGGCCAGGCCAAGCCAAATCTCTGGCTTTGGAAAATCTAAATGGGAGATTTTCTGTTTGGAGTGCTTTCCAGTTTGAGGACTGTAACTTGTGCGTGGAAGCCGAGAGGCCAGGTTGGACAGCAGCCAGATGGCACCATAGCCAATCAGAAAGGGGAGCATTCCAGGGGACAGGCAAGGGCCTCCGGGATAGAGCATTTGTGTTGGATGTGTGAAGCCCTGGGTTCGATCTCTGGCACCACTAAGAGAGAGAGACGCGGTGGAGGGGGAGGATTTGGATGGAGAGTCTTGTTAACAGAGATGAAAATGAACATATTCATGGCAGTGTTTTAAATTGCCAGTCATGAACTATAAGAATGGGAATTGAGAAGCTTGAGGGTTTTTTTTTCTTAATAATCTCTTGTGAATTTGTTTTTTTTTTTTAGCAAAATTAACTTTTAAGTAAGGTCATGGGAGTTCATGTGTTATGTCATCTTTATATTAATGCTTACAAGGTACTGAATTTTGTTTCACTTTCTTGAACTTTTGCAGGATAATTTATGGCAGTAGAATTGATGTGTTTGGGGCAGATTTAAAGATTTGCAAATAATCTGTGTGTCAATGTGGAGGATAAAACAAGGATACTAGATGCACCAAAAAAAAAAAAAAGTGTTTCCTTACTCAGAGTGTTACAGAAGGCTTTTACGTTTATATTGACTGTAGAAATATTTAGTTGTGTTTCCCTGTCCCCTGCCTATTCCCTCAACCTCATCATTTCCCCAAAACCCCTTCTGTCTGTCTTGCATAGAGATAAACAAGCTGGCTGACCTTCAGGTGCCCGATAGTCAAACAGGTTTGGTTGACCCTTATGAATGTTATGGAGAAAGAGAAAGAGAGAGAGACCAAAAGTGTGCTGCACTTCTCTTTGGGAATCACTGCCATGAATGTTAATAGCATTTCAGTAGCTTCCCACTCCAGCCTCGTGATAGAGTGAGCTGCACTACAGTTCGTTTGAGAAGTGTGATTCTGCTGTGTTTACCACACTTGTGAACTTTTAAACTCCTTTGTTATTTTGTCGCCTGCTTCTTTTCTTGATGATTATTTTTAATAAGGGTGACTGAGGTTGCCGAGAGATTAATGTGTGCTGAGTCTGCATAGCAACTTCCAGTAGGGTTGCCATGATACTAAACATACGGATTTTTGTTGAAAACTGGGGGCTGCTCAAACCACCACTGCCCCGGCATTGAAAACATCACGGATTGCCTTGTATGCATCCCCACCCCCACCCTCCACCACCACCACCACCACCACCATCACCACCATCACCACCACCACCACTGCCAAATCAGCGCTGAGTTTTGCCACTTGCCGGACCGTTTTATCGCATGATCAGCCGGCCAACTAGCCCAAAGTCTTCCTCCAGGGAGCTGCCTCCTCCTAGGTGCACAGCCTTGGCGAACCCCCCTCCCCCTCACCTGGTGCTGCCAACCTGGGCTCCACCCAGACAGGTGCTGCTTCTAAAACGATGCTCAAAATCAAAAGTCTTTCGAGGGAGGAGGAGGAGGAGGAGGCGGAGGAGGAGGAGGAGGAGGAGGAGGAGGAGGAGGAGGAGGAGAAGGGGGCTCAGATTTGGGCGACTTGTTGCCTCCTATTGATTGATTGATTGATTGATCGATTACTCATCTTGCCCCCACCTCTCCAAGACTTTGGCTACTAAGTACCAACCCCTCCCCCCGCCCCCAGCCCTCTGGAAAGTAGGTATTGTGGCAACCCTATGCTCATAATAACCACTAAATGGGGCGGGGGGTTTGGAGGGGTGGGGGTGTTGCCTGCCGGCTTGAAGCCAGGCTGGGAAGAGAAGGGGGTCCCGACGACGCACCGCCTGATGCTCTTTTTATTCCCTCCCCCCCTCCCCTCCCGGTCTCTCCGCAGGATCCCGGCGCACTACGTGTACCCGCAGGCGTTCGTGCAGCCCGGCGTGGTCATCCCCCACGTGCAGCCCGCCGCGGCCGCCGCCTCCACCGCGCCGTACATCGACTACACCGGGGCCGCCTACGCGCAGTACTCGGCCGCCGCCGCCGCCGCCGCCGCGGCCGCCGCCTACGACCAGTACCCGTACGCCGCGTCCCCGGCCGCCGCGGGCTACGTCACGGCGGGGGGCTACGGCTACGCGGTGCAGCAGCCCCTCGCCGCCGCCGCCCCCGGGACCGCCGCCGCCGCCGCCGCCGCCGCGGCCGCCGCCGCCGCCTTCGGCCAGTACCAACCCCAGCAGCTGCCCACCGACCGGATGCAGTAGCGCTGCCCCGTGATCCGAGTGGAGTTGTCGTTTCTCTCTCTGCCTCCCAGTTTTCCAATTTTTCTTTTTTTTTAGTTGCTAATCAGTTTAACAGCTTTAAGGAAAAAAAATGCAAAAAAAAAAAAAAAAAAGCTAGGCTATGGTGAAGCAACATTTTTCTTTTTTTTTTTTTTTGGTGTAATACTCCAGGAAGGTTCTTAGATAAGGGGGGCGGGGGCGGGGCAGCTGGGGTTCAGTTTCCGAAATCGATCCCAAAGAGCAGGTGTCAGTGAAAGGCCACCGTGGAAGGCTGGCAAAGTGGCCGTGAAACTTCCCTTCACTTTTATAACGGGAGTATTCAATTATTATTTTTTTTCTCTCTCTCTCTCTCTCTTTCCTCGTTTTATAGTATCAGGGAAGCAAACTGCCTTTTTTTACAAGTTAGAAAATGCTATTTGAATCTAGTCGAACCAGGGAATACAGAGTGAGCAATATGTAGCTTGAATTACCTTTCAAAGTAGTCGTTGTGTTTTTGTTTTGTTTCTTTTTCTTTTTTTTTTTAAAAAAACAAAATGGTGAAAAGCACTGATTGTCCTTTTTTCGCAATCGCTCACGGCCTCCAGAACTTGTTCAAGTCAGAAGGAACTGTTCTTCCTATCTCAAAAACGGGCATCGAACAATCAATCATTCTAGGAGCGTGGCCGTGGGGGGAGGGGAGGGGGGAAGTGGTGGGCTAGGCACCAAAGCTATTTTCTCCTCCAGCCTGTGGATGAGTGGGACTGCACAGCCAGTGATGTGGAATTACAGGGCACAACAGCTGTACAGACAATCAATAACACACACAGTTCTGGAAAGAACACATCACTTGTGCTTGTTGGATGAGCTCCTCACATTCTAATCCCTCTCCCCATCCTGTTTCAATTTTGGGAAACTTGTATCTGCTGGTGTCAGCTTTTGCTATGACGGCCTTCTCTTTCTATTTATTGTGTTGACTTGTGGCTTAGGAATCAAGGCAGGCGAAGTTTGCAGACTCGAGGCCCTTAAGCACCGTCTTAAGGACATTAATTTCCCCCCCTCCCTCTTTTTAGATAATTTTACACTTTTTAGTGTCTATTTCAGAGTCCTATTTAAAACTATTTATTAGTGACTACAGTACACGAGGCGACAAGGTTACTGAGATTACAATTCTTCAAAGGTTAATGATAATGTGGTTTATACTGTGCCTTAATAGTAATGCTATTTAAGATATTTATTTTTAAGTTTTACTATGCTGCATTCTAAAGAAAGGAACTTTAGATGTGACACTGTAAAATTATGTATTCATCTCATGGCATAAATTATTTAGTAGGTCTAGTTGTAGCATATTAAATATTAACCTATTCAACTGAAGATGCCGACGTGGATTTATTTAAATTCATATGTGCACTGTATAAGAGTACTCTTACATTAACACATTTTAGTTTATTTTAGTTTTTAGGTTTTTTAAGGGAAAAAAAACAGTATATTGCTAGTTTCATGCTTCCTTCTCTGATTTTGCTCATGTAGACCTCATTTATTGGTACTTCATTGGTTTAACACTTTTCTTGTGTAGTTTATGTAGTTTTTAAATGCTGCTTTACATTTTCCTTCTGAAACTGCAATACTTGCAATTTTTATTCTTAAACTAAATTGAATACTATTTTACACTGTATTGGATTTTTATACTTGAACAATTTCATACAAGGGAAGACAGGTTAGCATTTTTATGGACTTTCTCCATTATCACTGGATTTACTTTTAAGTATTCCCGTACTAGACAGTGTTATGTAATGTAGACATGACTCTCCCGTGCAAATTATTTATTCATTGTGTATATTGCTTTATAACATTTCAGATCTTCTAATCTATTCACTTGTATTAAATATAATTTTTAAAAACTTCTGTTGCACTGATTGTTTCTCATTTTGTCATAGAAGTGGAACTCTTCTCCTTTTCACCAGAATTAATGACCATAATTGAATGGTTATAGCCTCGGTGAGCAGAACACCTTTTTTTAATACCTTTTGGGTGATATTTTCATTGATTTCTATAATACTGAGCTAATAATAACTGCCTCACCTGGTTATTTAAATATGGACATTTCAAGTGTGTTGGAATCAAACCAGTATCTAATAAGCATTCTATTAAGGATCAATGGTCATAGTTACTAGACTACTTCATGCTCAGAGCTCGAATTGAACCTTGAAATGTTTCTATTTTTTTCACTTCTAGCCACAATGAGATGGCAGTATATAGTGAGATGTATATTAGACAATCAAATGAATGATTAACCTCTTGATAATTTTAAAATGTCTGTGTTAGGTTCATTGTGGGATAGATTGTTGCTCTCTTGGTTTCAGTATTTACCAAATCCATGTTAGAATATCTTTTCTTCAACCCCATTTGTTTTAAAAAATTATGAAGAATATTGTGATCATATTGTGCCCTGTATTTCATGGTAGCTCATCCAATTTAAAGCCATAACTATCACAAGTTAAAATTGTGATTAATTTCCCGGACACAGTAGACTCAACCTTAACCCTAGGGTGGTAGACATTATTGCACTCCAAGGGATTAACTGAGATCAGTAAAATAATTTCCAAGTTATTTAACTCGGTCAAAATATCAATGATTATTTTATTTCAAAAGATATGTTCCACAGTTACATTTTCAGATTTATGGAAAGTCCCTCTTGGCCTCATTAAGCCATATTTTGATTGATGAACTTGAAAATAAAACATTTGATTTATCAATTAAAAATAGGTCAGACAGTTCTGGGAAAACCTTTTCAAAAATAGCCCTGCTCAGAAAACCAAAGGTCTACCAACTTCTGGTTGTTTCCCCCTTGGGAGAATTTTCTGATCTATATAATACCAATATTAACAAGTATAGTGAGGGCCCAAGTTTTACTTTAGAATGCTGAGGCCTACATTTGTAAAAATAAAGTTCTTAATACTTAGCCAACAGAGAAAGAATGGTCATGATTTAAAGTCTGCATTGGGAGCTGGAGCAGTAGCACAGCGGGTAGAGCGTTTCCCTTGCACACAGGCAACCTGGGTTCGATTCCCAGCATCCCATATGGTCCCCTGAGCACCACCAGGGCTAATTGCTGAGTGCAGAGTCAGGAGTAACCCCTGTGCATCTCCGGGTGTGACCCAAAAAGGCAAAAAAAAAAAAAGTCTGCATTGGTCAAGCTGACTGGTTATATTTGCAGACCGAGAAAAAGCGATGGGGACCGGAGCCATAATCCAGTGGGGAGGGTGTTTGCCTTGCACTCTGCTGATCCAGGTTTGATTCCCAATATCCCATATAGTCCCCTGAGCACTGCCACGAGTAATTCCTGAGTACAGAGCCAAGAGTAACCTCTTACCACCCAACCTCAAAAGAAAATTGTGCCTGAGATAGAAAGAACTGGCCAACTCCAAAAGTAATTGTGGGTGCATATGCTGCCTGAGCCCAAGTGCTGCTTGCATCCACGTGGCTGAACACACATGCGGTGCCCAAGCACAAGTGTCGCCCGCATCTCCCCTCTTGAGATGTGGACTTTCATACTTTCGTGTCTAATGCTGGGATGTGTGTATAGGCTCTCTCCATCCTTGGGGAAGCCTGTGTTCTCTCTTGAGTACTATACTCTCTCTCACTCTTTCCCCTTCCACACCTTAAAAATCCTCCAAGTAAGGGGCTGGAGAGGTAGCACAGCGGGTAGGGTGTTTGCCTTGCACGCAGCCCACCCGGGTTCGATTCCCAGCATCCCATATGGTCCCCTGAGCACTGCCAGGAGTAACTCCTGAGTGCAGAGCCAGGAGTAACCCCTGTGCAACGCCGGGTGTGACCCACAAAGCAAAAAAAAAAAAATCCTCCAAATAAAATCTGTTTATTTCACAAACAAACAAAAGCAATTGTGAACCCCTGTTCACTGGTAAAATGTGAGTTGGTAGAAACCCCTCACAGTTGCTTTAGCTGCCTCCCAGGTTGTACTGATTAAATAAATTGAGGGGGCCGTTTTAGAAACTAAAATATTAGGCCAATGAAAAAGGATACGAAGGGAATATTTAGCATATTACTTTGGAAATTGCCTTCAATTGTCTAATTTACACATGAGGACAAAACTATATACCTTGATGTTATTTTTTTATTCTGTCCCAAACAAATAACTGCTAAATTAGCTGTTTGACAAAGAATGGCACACACACACACACACACACACACACACAAATAATAACTTGAAAACATGGGGAGATTGCCCAGATAGTGCAAGAGTGAAGGCAAGAGAGAAGATTATGGAATATATTTCTCTCAAAGAACTATATTTAGCTCCTTCCTCACTCCTGTCAAATATTGTTCTTAATTCCCTCTGAGCTTTGAAAGTATTCATTAAGACGACAGCCTGAGCTTTGGAAGGACAAAGGTGAAGAGGAACCCAAAAAAATAAATAAGTGCATTTTCATGCTTACTTTTTGTCCTCTCTCCTTCAAGAGTTCCAGGCTGTTTCCATGGAAATTCTAACTTTGTTTTGCTTAAGCATTTAGAACAGAAGCAGTTTCGCTTTGGGTATTTGTTCTGGGTTGAATTTTACAAGTTCAATAATGAATTTAGCTATGTCACTTACATGCCAGGCTTTGAAATCCCAACTGTAAATCAGCATGAGAAAAGAATCAGACAAGACATGTTCAGAACGTTTAGATGAGAAAAATATATATGTATAACACTGAAAGCATAAATTTGTTCTGTCTTGCTGCACAGTGTTCTGTCATTCTTGACCAACTTCAGAGAAAGAGAGAGAGAGAGTCTATAATGTGCCCTTCGATCCTGTCACTTGCCTCCTGCAAGATGAATGTCATTGCTTTATTACAATCCAAGATGTGGGGCCAGAGGGATAGTATAGCCAGTAGGGCGCTTGCTTTGCAAACAGCCAACCTGGATTCTATCCCTGTCATCCCATATGGTCCCCCATTATACCAGGTATAATTCCTATGTGCAGAGCCAGGAGTAACCCCTGAGTATTACCAAAACTCCAAAATAAGTAAAATAAGAAATAAAATCCAAGATGCTATGCTAAGCTGTAATGTTTTACATGAGTTGGAGGGTGTGCATTGCTTTTCATTTTGCCACTGTGC